GCGGTTAAGAAGTTGCGAATCGCAGACCATATGTCTCCCAAACCGCCGGCGCTCAAGCCGTCCACACCATCGAGTGGTGGACCCAAACGCACAGCACATATAGCCTTTAGGGGGTCGACCTCTAGTCCACAAACTCGTTCGCCACTCACTCGCACGCCATTGACTCGAACACCACTCACGCGAACTGATTCACCGAAAATTAGTCGTCTTTGTCGTCAGCCCCCTCCCGGCCCCCAACGCTTAGGCAGTTCTGCGGTTACCAGTGGTGTGAAGACTTCGAAACCTCTTAGACCCGGAACGGGTGGCTCCAGAAACAGACGTTTGGACGATGATATGCCGGCCCAACAGACTGCCAGCGCTGCCGAACCCGTGTCCACCTCTGCGCCAACGGCTTCCGAAGCGAATAGAGCCGATATTGTGGCACCGGAACCGAGTCGTGATAATCCTTATAAACCTGTAGAGGAATCGTCGGACAGAGAAGTATTTGACGAGTTGTCCAAAATAGTTGAGTCACATATGGCTGCTTCAGAGCCGCCCCAGACATCACCGGCCGGTGCTTCAGAATTGACGAATGAAATGCTGTATTTACGACTACTTCACCTTGGTTTACTCCTAGTCTACTCACTATTGTTACTGCTATTACCACCGCTGCTCCTTCACCACTTGCTTTCGGGAAATTTTTGCTTTGGGTAACTCTTTCTTCACCTTGTCGTGACCATCGAAAGCGATGACGACGGGGAACAGTATGTGTCGGACACCACGGAACTGGTAGCTCAGGTTAAGGCCGAAAACCCGGATCCGACTGACGATATCAATGTGTCGGACACGTCATCTCAGGCATCGGTACCCCTCAATACGTCCAACACATTCAATGAAAGCGGTTCTAAGTCTTCAACCGCTCTGGCATTTAGTAGACATGCGCTGAAGTACACGGGATTTGAGGACCAGGACGTCGTGCCCGCCGTTGACTACAGTATCGGTGCTCTGAAGCCGACCGCTGTCTCCTCCAAATTCAAGGACAAGAATGTTGTCATAGCGTTGACCACATTTAAGGAGTATTTGTTGGCCTCTTATTTCGACGCAACTGTTCGCCGGTTCCACATAAACGACAAACAAGACGTCATTCAATACGACGGACACGAAGGTCACGTGTGGGCTATGGTTGTGGTGGAGGGGACGGCCACTCAATGGCTGTACACCGGATGTAATGACAAAAAGTTGCGACTTTACGACGCAATGACCGCCCGATTGCACCGTCAGATTGAACTCAAAGATCAGATCCTGTGTCTGGACTACCGATTCGGTCAAGTGTTCTGCGGTCTTATTAACGGAACTCTTTGTAAAGTGTCGGCCTTTCACGAGATGGTCAGTCAGGTGGCGAACCCAGAGGCCGACCAGGAGTTGATTAAGTCATTCCCAGTGAACGCCAATCGACGTATCTCTGCGGTGGTGGCCGTCAAAGTGGACATACAGTCGGATTGTGGGCTCACAAACATTGAGCCGGTAGTGGTCGCCACGTCTAATAAACTACGGATTATCGATACCAGCGATGGAGTGGACACCGATGAGCACCGGGTGCTGCACTCGATGACCATTACTCTGAACCCACCGGTGATGCTGAGGGTTTTCGGCAGTCAGTTGTTTATTGTGTATAAATTACCGGCCATTAAGTCTGAGGATAAAACAGCCGGCGCTGCACCCAAACTACTCGAAAAGTCCAAAGTTTTGGTGTACGACATGAAAAAGGTATATCCATTGCGTTCAGTATTTAATTTGAATTAGTTTTGATTTAATTTTGAATTTTATTACAAACTTTTAAACTGTTTTGTGAAGGACTGGAATCCCATCCAAATTATAGAGATGACTGGTGTGGTGTCGGCCATAGATATGAGGGGTCGGGACGTCATATTGTGCCAAAAGGACGGCAAAGTGCAGTGCCTGAGTCTGGTCTCTCGCGTCGGAGTCGAGAACTGGTCTCTCAAGTGGATCGCCTACCACCTGGACAACGAGGGCGTCCCGAAAAAGTGTACTGGCTTAAGTGCCTGCGCTCTGGTGGGCTCGCGGCTACTGTTGGGTACTTTTGAGGGCTCTATTGATGTCGTGTTCATTGATCCCAAGCCCCAGGACTGCGACATCTGTGGCGTTGCCTTCGCCCGCAATATGGATCTCAAACACCACATTAAGTTAGAGCACGGGGTTGAAGGTAAGGCCCCGGGAGGCTCTGGACATAGTTAGTAGTGCCAAAGATTGTGCCCTAAATTATCAGTCATTTAGATTTAGGTTTAATTTAATTGTATTTTTGACTACCATTTTGTACTTAATTATTGNTCAATGTTTGTGAGCCCACAATCCGACTGTATGTCCACTTTGACGGCCACCACCGCAGAGATACGTCGATTGGCGTTCACTGGGAATGACTTAATCAACTCCTGGTCGGCCTCTGGGTTCGCCACCTGACTGACCATCTCGTGAAAGGCCGACACTTTACAAAGAGTTCCGTTAATAAGACCGCAGAACACTTGACCGAATCGGTAGTCCAGACACAGGATCTGATCTTTGAGTTCAATCTGACGGTGCAATCGGGCGGTCATTGCGTCGTAAAGTCGCAACTTTTTGTCATTACATCCGGTGTACAGCCATTGAGTGGCCGTCCCCTCCACCACAACCATAGCCCACACGTGACCTTCGTGTCCGTCGTATTGAATGACGTCTTGTTTGTCGTTTATGTGGAACCGGCGAACAGTTGCGTCGAAATAAGAGGCCAACAAATACTCCTTAAATGTGGTCAACGCTATGACAACATTCTTGTCCTTGAATTTGGAGGAGACAGCGGTCGGCTTCAGAGCACCGATACTGTAGTCAACGGCGGGCACGACGTCCTGGTCCTCAAATCCCGTGTACTTCAGCGCATGTCTACTAAATGCCAGAGCGGTTGAAGACTTAGAACCGCTTTCATTGAATGTGTTGGACGTATTGAGGGGTACCGATGCCTGAGATGACGTGTCCGACACATTGATATCGTCAGTCGGATCCGGGTTTTCGGCCTTAACCTGAGCTACCAGTTCCGTGGTGTCCGACACATACTGTTCCCCGTCGTCATCGCTTTCGATGGTCACGACAACCACTTCTTTCTCAATGGGTTTCGTTTTTAAAGGGCTTTCGTTCACCACTTCCTCGTCGCCACCATTATCGTCATTGTTATCACTCATCTGATCCTCATTTGGTTCCACTTCATCAGCATTTATGTCCATTTCATTCGTCAATTCTGAAGCACCGGCCGGTGATGTCTGGGGCGGCTCTGAAGCAGCCATATGTGACTCAACTATTTTGGACAACTCGTCAAATACTTCTCTGTCCGACGATTCCTCTACAGGTTTATAAGGATTATCACGACTCGGTTCCGGTGCCACAATATCGGCTCTATTCGCTTCGGAAGCCGTTGGCGCAGAGGTGGACACGGGTTCGGCAGCGCTGGCAGTCTGTTGGGCCGGCATATCATCGTCCAAACGTCTGTTTCTGGAGCCACCCGTTCCGGGTCTAAGAGGTTTCGAAGTCTTCACACCACTGGTAACCGCAGAACTGCCTGAGCGTTGGGGGCCGGGAGGGGGCTGACGACAAAGACGACTAATTTTCGGTGAATCAGTTCGCGTGAGTGGTGTTCGAGTCAATGGCGTGCGAGTGAGTGGCGAACGAGTTTGTGGACTAGAGGTCGACCCCCTAAAGGCTATATGTGCTGTGCGTTTGGGTCCACCACTCGATGGTGTGGACGGCTTGAGCGCCGGCGGTTTGGGAGACATATGGTCTGCGATTCGCAACTTCTTAACCGCTGTCTGTTGTGCTGACGAACTCTTCGGTCGTTTCAGCGCCGACACCAAAGATGACGTCGAGCCAGAAGAAGTCGGTTTGTGACTGGAATGGGATGACTGGGCTCTGGCAGCGGCGGGCTGTGGAGGGCCGGGCCTATCGACTCGAGCGGGCCTTTGCTCGTCAGACACCTCGCGAATCACTGACGCCTCGGACTCTGCGCTCGTCGTCGACTCCGACCTAATCCTGCGGTTAAGGTCTGCCATCTCGTCGAGCAATCGCTTCGAATCCCTTCCCAACGCCTCGATCTTCTCCTCGAACTGGTCTTTGGTTCGTTTCAACTGATCCCTGAGTCGGATCTTCTGCTCGAAAGCCTTCAACTCTTTGTCCAACTCTTGGATCCGACTTTCGGTGTCTTTGCGACTGCGGGTCAACACTTCCGACTCGTTTGATATCTTCCGCGATTCGGCTATAAGTTCGGCCATTCGGTCGCCGCCGGTATCCGTCGGATCAGTTTCGGTGACAGTGCTCTCCTGGAGGACCAGACCGGTGGCAGTCTGTCGGTTGGCGTTAATCACTGCCTCTCGGATCTGATCGATGTTCTCGATGTCGATAGTATTGAAGATATCACTCGCAGTACTTCCGGAGGGCTCTGGTGTGCGCGCCGCCGACGGGTGTGTATACACGGCTCGACTCGTATCGGCGGCCATAGCGTAGGGAACGGGAGGGTTGGCTCTCATTGGGGGCGGGGGTGGTGTCGACGGGTGTTCAGGTGACTCATAATAAGCGCCGGTATTGTAGTGCTGACCCACTGTAGGCGCCGGTGGTATCTGCGGACCGGTATTACCGGCGCCGAAATAACTGCTTCTGGGGGTAAACATACGCTGATGACCCATATTAGGGGGTATTTGTGGGCCACCGAAAGGGTGGGGTGGGGGCCGCATAGGGGGCTGGTTGTGAGCGAACTGCCGGTGCGGCGATTGGTGTTGATTGGGATTAGTGTTCCGCCACTGCATGGGATCAGCTCCGGGTGACGATCGGTCCGGCGAGTCGTGGCTACGTCTGCGACGGTTATGGTATCCACTCATCGCTGCGATTATCACCGAACGGACACAACTCGTGAGTAGTGGAGGCGATAGGCTTTGAGGGCAACGGGTGGTCAACACGTGTTAGTCACGTGACAATCGGATTGATAGCCGTTTTCGGCGTTAAATTCATTTCAGTTTTAATCGCAAAATATAAACAGTTTTTTGAAACGACTTTTCAAATGAAATGCAAAACATTTTCATTGACGTAAACATTGGAGGCATTCATAAACAACGTTATGATTCATTCAGTTTTACCACTAATTATCTCAAAAAGTTAGTGAATTAAGTGCTTAAGAGATAATTGTGGTCACCATGCATACAGAAAATACTGATTCGTGGGAACGGTAGCCAAATAATAGGTCTAATTATATAATATATCGTATGACAGGGAAAGGGATAGCAATACAAATACAAATACAAATATTTTTTAATGATCTTAAATTATAATTTGAAAAATGTTTGAAAAATATTACAAACCGTTCAACACTTTAACTATGAATTAAATGCAGTATTAATTAAAAAACTAAATAATTTTAACCACAAAACAGTCACTGATTTATACAGTATTTCTAAACATTGAATCTACTCTTAAGCCACGGTTTAGTCTCAAGAATCGTGGTCTCAGTTCTGGTGATTTGTCTGCAAATCATAGTCGCGTAAGTACTCGTCGGTAATGACATCGATATCTTAAGCGCCAACTTGTCGTCACTATTTACCACACTATCATCACCAGCACTACGACACTCAACATCTTTAGTCTTATTATCGCCACAATTGTCCACTTCTTGGGCCTTACGTCTAATGGTCACTAAATCGCTGTCAATGAGCGGTACATTCGGGTCTTTATAATCACACCATTCGTACTCAAAGTCTTCTGGTTTGACGTAAAGTCGACGATAAGTGCCGAAAACACACCACTGTTTGGGTAAAGCTTTAAACATATCGACCGACACCTCGTCCTCACCCAACAGTTCCCTCATGTAATCGCCGACACTATTAGTCGGCCACACATTGTCACTGCCGATCACAGGGAGTACTATATCGTAAATACTGGCGCCACTACTGTTCCTCTCATCTGCAACCACTATATTATCGCCAAATCTGGAGCCCTTTTTATCGCCATTACTGTCCACAACCTCACTGTCCACTTCATTATCACTTTTGAGTAATAGGTCTCCGGCTACCACTCTCTGGCCGTACGTACGGACCCGATATGAGGCGGTCCTATTCCATACGTAGCTTTGGTAGCAATGGAGGTATAGTAGGCGTTGATTACGATGCATACCAGTGCATAGGGCGCCCATATAATCATTGTCCGCCACACGGGATAGTCCTTTCAGTAGCGTAGCCTCTGGTGTCCACTTTTGAGGGCAGTTATTAAACGCCGACTTCGCGTCTCTAGTCTTACGCCACAAATTCAGGCACTCGTTGAACGACATACCGGACCCATCGCGCCATTGAATGTCTTGCGGTCTATCAGATAGTATCAACTCAACCACCCGTTCCCACTGTTGCCTCAATATAGCTATACCGATGGCGTACGGCTTCTCGTACTGAAAGCCAAAGCGTTGCATTCCGTAGTAATTGATGGCACCGGTAGTTCGCACCGACTCCATACTCTTGGCCACTGCATCCATGTCCACACTCTTCGGTACATCTCTCAAGACTATATCAAATCGATTGCCCTTCAGATCGCCTAACTTTATCTCCCGGCGCTCAAACCTGAAGTGCCCGACCTCTACGTCCCGACACCGTTGGGAGGCCTCCCATATCTTACGGGGCGGCACCTTATAGGCCGACACCTCCTGTGCGGTGATCGCGCGCTTGTCTTTAGTGCCGGCCGTCGAGAAATTCTTGGCCGAGATATGCATTTTGAGGGCCAACTCCTGGAGCGCCTGTTGTGTCTCCCGGTTCTCCTTATATAACACAAAGTGTATGTACTCTCCCTTGTCCTGAGGCCAGGCGTGTCGACGCCTACCATTAGAATCATGACTACGACTGTCCACTCGCTTCACCACAATATGTTTGTCGGCTTCGGTGTCACCGATGGTCGAGGTCTCTAAGGACTCGTAATTATCTCGAATGGCTTTATGTATTCGAGTTCTCGCGTGTTTCGAGAGACCAGTCACTGGTATCTTAACCTCTGATGACTTCACATTAACTCCGGTAGTATCTGTCGATTCAGTCACCGATTCCTCAACAGTTGGCTGACTGTCCAGGAATTCTATAGTCGAGTCCATCTCAACCTCATTATCATCGCATGGTTTCGCCAATTGGCGGATCTGTTCAACAGTGCTATCGTCGAGCACTTCATGAATGTCCAGCACTGGTATCACATCCTCTACGGGTCGACTCGTGTCCAATAGCCGTACGACTCGACGGTCGCGGGAGATCTCGTGTACTAAGAAGTCTTCGTAACTACAAGAATGTCAGATCAAACACATATGAGTGGACACCCATTCACGAGTCAATTATCATAACAAAGTACCGGTTCTTGAGCACAGCTGTGAATGGCTTGAAATGGCCGATGAATTCACTGATACCGACGTCCTTCTCATCGAAACGCCTGTCCAATAGTGAGCGCCACTTATTGTCCTCATCATCACCGACACCACCGCTCGCGGAGGGTATTGGCTCACCGATAGCTGTGGCGTCCAATTTGATCCGTTTCGGTGATGTCTCCATCGTTTTGATGGCAAATATCCTCTGAATGCAAACTCTGATGACTCGACCGACAGTTCTGTGCATTCAATGCATGCATTCATTCAATTCAATGCCATTTAAACACAATTTAAACACAATTTAAACACAATTTATAATTCATTTGTGTGTCAGTCGATGGTGTGTTTGTCACGTGACTCACGCGTGCATTGGGCGCCACCTATTGGCGTGCATTGGGCGCCACCTATTGGCGTGCATTCAACACACAGTAACTCATATAAACTCCACGCAAACAGTTTTGTTTAGCCATTGGTCTCACGTCATGAGCGACACGTCTGTCCCATACATACCATACCATTGATTGTCATTTACTTTCACTTTCATCGACTGATCCCGCGATCCATATCACTGTTTGTTTGACCACTACTTTGGGTAACTATAGTCCACTGAAATGCTATTCAATTGATTCCCACATTAAATGCATTCATCACTAAAAGCCTATTGTTTTGTGCCGTTGTTTGCAGTCATCAGTCAATCGGCGCTCAAAAAGCCATTGAATTAAAGCCGACAATCGGTTGACACAATCGCCGCAACCACTCGTCCACTAACTGTCCACCAGTTGTTGGACAGGACACCCACGCCTACCATTCCCTCCCAGTGCTCACAACCCCCGCGACTATCACCGACACCGGCGATGGCCTCCAGCAACTCGACGGCCAGTTTTACGGCCGTAAACGACGGCGAGTTCTCACACCTGGACCTCACGGGTAAACTCATTATCAAAGTGTCGTTCGGCGAAGACATCCGTCGGATACCCATCCATAACGAGGAGATCACGTACGACGAGCTCATCCTTATGATGCAGAGGGTCTTCAGGGGACAGTTGGACGCCAACGACGATGTGGTCATCAAATACAAGGATGAGGACAACGACTTGATTACCATCGCTGACAGTTCCGACCTGTCGTTCGCCATCCAGTGCTCGCGTATACTGAAGATCACGCTCTTCGTGAACGGACAGCCCTTACCGCTGATGACGGATGAGGTGAAAGTGATTCGCAAAGAGTTGCAACACATCCGCAACAGATGTAACATATTGTTGGACCGCTTGGAGGCGCCGCGTAAGGCCTCCACAGCCACCGGTGCCGCCGATGAGGACAGTAGTGTCGCCACCGATAAGACCGTAGACACGGCGGCCGCCCGACGGTCGGCGCCCTCAGTGGGACAGCCCCTCAACAAAGAGTTTGATCCGTTGAAGTCGTTCGGCGGCCGACAGGAACTCCATAACGGACTCCAGGAGTCGTCGGACAAGCGCTCGGCGACGCCCGACAGCGTCTCATCCCTGTCCTCGCAGTCGCGACAACAGCAAGGGTTGGGTAATGTGTCGGCGCCGGAGCTCAAGTCACTTGTGGGCGGAGACCCAAACCAATCGCCTGGGGGTCAGCCCCAGCAGTCGTACGGCAATCAACTGATGGGTGGACAGGGGTTCCCACAGCAGCCCCAACCGCCGGCCCGTTTCGAAGTGCAGGCGCAACCATATCCGGGTCAGTTTCCGCCGCCTAATCGCCAGAATCCAGGCCTCCCGGGAGGACCCGGAGGTTTGCCACTACAGAACCCACAGTCCAGTCCGTTAGGACCGCCGCCACCGACTTCTCAGGGCATTGGCGGTGGATATCCCGGTGGACCCCCATCTCAACCGCAATCTATGTCCGGATTTGGTGGACCTCAGGGCCCACCCAACCAGCCGTTTGGAGCGCCGCCACCGGCCGGTCGACCCCCGGGACAGTTTGGAGCGCCGCCACCGTCTGGACAGTTAGGAGGCCCGGGAGGACCACCGCCTCAATCGATGTTCCCTCAGATGAGTGGACCGCCGCCCACATCGATGGCCCCAACGGGACCCACACCTGGAGGCCCGGGTGGACCTCCACAATCTGGTTACGGCCAACCGAGTCCTATACACGGTTACGGCGGTGGACCACAACCTCCAGTCTCTCAACAGCAGCAGCAACAACAACAACAACAACAATACCAACAGCAGATGCCTTCACAACAACCACCGCAACAGTCGATGGCCGGCCCCTACCCGGGAGGTATGGGTGGACCGCCGCCGCCCTCGATGTCGATGGGCGGCTCAATGCCCGGACCCCCACCTACTCTTATGTCCGGTCCGATGCCCGGAGGAATGAATCCATACTCGCGCGGTGTGGGCACCAATAGGCCCCGGTATCCGCCGAACCCCGGGTTTCCGGTCCCACAATAATAATGAGAACAAATAAAAAGTGTTTTTTAGTGAAACTTATTATAAATTACTGGAAAACTAATGTATGTTTAGTTATATTGTATTTTCTGAAACCACTTCTACTTTTGCTCCCTTTCCCCCACTCCTCCCTTTCCGCACACGAATTAATTGTCCGAAAGATTCATTCGCTTTAATTATTTTATTTAATTAAATATAATATGGATTTAACTATTAATTATTTCTCAAACTTTTTATGACTTGAAATTGTAATAAAAGTTTTGTTTTTAAAATTGTTTGCTTTATTCTCATGAATATGTTTGGCCTGAGTGTAGGCGCTGTTGTGTGAGCACCGGGCTATAGGGGTTAATGTTTTATTGAATTATTTACTCGTGTTATGAAATCAATAACTGGATTAGATTTCAACAGAAGTTTATTTAACTAAAATAAGACTTAAATTTGACAAATCCGGTATTTTTAATGCATTGCCCACAGTTTAGGTACTTTTTGTACTAATACTAAAGCATTTCATATGCATTATTTGTTTTATATAAAAAGGCACGCATTTATCGTATGCATGTATTATGCAATGTTTACAATGCGTTTGAAAGCCGTGACAAACAGTAAATGACTTATCATTTGATTATCACTTCATTTACCACTTCTTCGTGAGGCAGACATCATTGAAAACGGTTCTTAACATCCAATCCATTGATAACTAAGAGGACATCGACAACAACCGACATAATGTTACCGACAATCGGTCGACAATGTCTTCAGCGGATGACTTCGCGGACATTATTAAACCGTTTTTGTGGTAAAAGTGTCGCAAATGGGCGACAATTATCTCAATCGATGGTGAGGTCGTCGAAGGAGGAGAACAAACCGCCGATCGATTCGCAGCCGGCATCGACACCACAACAAGACATCAATGAGTCGTTGCAGAGACAGTATATCCGTCCGCGACGGGCACTCCTCTACTGTCCCGGAAGTGATGACCGAAAAATCGCCAAATTGTCCACAATTTGCGGTTCAGTCGATACAGTAGTTCTCGATTGCGAAGACGGAGTGGCCGCCAATAAGAAGGTATCACTGGAACTGATGTTTAGATTCTGTGGCCTTTCATTGTCTTATTACTGTCTCTTTGGACTCTTTATTACTGGACCCATTCCTCCACTTTCATGACTGACACATTGAATGTACAGAACATCCGACTCCGCGCTGTTTGATATGACCTTCGCTAGGTTTGCCAACGGAAACCGGCTTCACTCACGCGGCAAGCCTAGTTGAGTTATCTGTCGCCAAACCGGCTTCTCCTGGTCCAAGTCGTGCTCTCCGGAGAAAAGTTACCAAAAACTATACTTTTGCCGAAAGTGGAGACTCGAGAGCACTTGGATTCGGTACACAATATGATGAACTCACTAATGAGTGGATAATTTGATTGTCGATTATCTGATCCCACAGTTCGCCGAAAAACTGGTCAAAGCGATGGGCAAACGGAAGACTAATAAAGACTTACATCTATTGACATACGTTGAGAGCGCCAAAGGGTTACTCAATCTTCGGGATGTCATACAACACGCCATCGAATTGTCTGAATTTCATTTGTTCTCATTGGAGGGCATTGTCTTCGGTTCCGACGACTTCTGCGCCTCCATTGGTATGCCTTAAGACACGACTTATATGTCACTCATTAACCCCTTCTCTCCCCTCATAAGGCGCGACCAGAACTGCCGGCGCTTCCGAGACCCTACTGGCCCGCCAACAGGTGGTCCTAACAGCCAAAGCGTTTGACTTACAGGCCATTGATGTCGTGTACATCGACTTCAAAGGTATGGCAAATGAAAACCAAATACTTAAGACCTATTCTTAACTATATATCGCCGGCACCGGTAGATATTGAGGGCCTGAGAGCCCAGTCACTAGAGGGGGCCAACATGGGCTTCAGCGGCAAACAGGCCATACATCCGACACAAGTTCCCGTCATTCAGGAGGCGTTTAGCCCTCCACCAGAGCGAGTAGAGTGGGCCCGGAGGCTAGTGGACGAGTATAAGAAATCCCAGAGCGAGGGAAAGGGAGCCTTTGTATTCGAGGGCCAAATGATCGACCGGCCCCTCCTATTACAAGCGTTGAATATCATAGACATCGCCGTTGGGCCCGGAGGCTAGTGGACGAGTATAAGAAATCCCAGAGCGAGGGAAAGGGAGCCTTTGTATTCGAGGGCCAAATGATCGACCGGCCCCTCCTATTACAAGCGTTGAATATCATAGACATCGCCGACGCTCTAGAGCGCAAGTAGTTGTTATTTAGTGTATAAATAATGAACGCATTTATAAATTAGTTTATTTTGTGAATCACAACTCAATTGAGATTTCATTTTTGGATTCAATTATTGTTTTTATAAATTATTATAGAAATAGGATTTTGTTTTGAGATTTCATTTTTAAGCGTTAAATAAATTTCTTTATTAAACACTGCTTTTCGTTCAATTGATTTGAGTGTCGGGTGGGTAGGGAGTGGTGGGCACTGGTGTTTACAAAATAAAGTTTATTTTATAAGCATTTAATTGGTTTTAAAAGTAATTTTTATTGATTCAAAGAAAAAATAATTTTTACAATCTATTGATTGCAGTGTTTATAATGTATTGCCTGTACTTTCTGGACACAAAAATAGTTATCATTTTTATGGGATTTAATTAAATATATATTTAAATATAAAATGACAATAAATTTTAAATATTCATTATAACCAACAATTCATTATTAAGAGAGAAATGAGATTTAAAAATATATTGTGTTAATAGCCGTAAAACCCATTAACCGTCGGTACCGTCCCTTACGTACGAGTGCTTTGAGTGTTAAGCAGACTGTCTGTCCCATAGGAAAGTGGTATTAAAAACATTCGTTTCATTAAAATCTCAAACAATCCGTTAAAACAATTGAATAGACAATAAAACCCACTTTTGTTTGTCAAACGACACGACAGACTGCTTTAAAACCCTTTTCGCCTTCAAAAACAGGAGGTTTTCAGACGACATCATAAATCGTCATTAAGATTAAGTCCCAAAACCAGAGCTACCGGTGCTCTGGGATCGGGAGTTACTAAGAAATTCTACCCCAAAATAATTGCAATGAATATAAGGAAAGCTTAAAATAGATTAGATAACAGTCGCACGACTTGTCGATCAGTAATAATAATATAATAGTAATGTATTTGAAGTAATAGTGGTTTTGTTGGAAGTGTTTATTTGTGTGCATTGTATGGGAATGGGATGTGAGGCCGTGTCCAGGGGTGTGTCCGCACAGGCGGTACAGTAGGCCTCAGCTGTTGGGTTTGGCGTACAGTCCGTATGTGATGTCGTAGTTCTTGAATCGGCACACCTGTAGCTCTTTGCGGTCGAACCCCTGGAACTCCACGTCTCGGAACTCCTTGTGGGCGTTGAACGACGTCGACAACTGTATTGACATCAATGTTGTGTTCAGAGTTACGTTCAGAATACAGAATATTCTTGAAGTTTGTAGGCATACCTCATTGGCGCAGATAGTCATCAGAAACTTTCCCGGAATAAACACTTTCAGCAAACGGTTGACGAGATCCGGGTATGCCGTGTGGGGACAGTTAGTCTCGAACGACACGTACGAACAGTGGGGTTCAGGTGTTATGTGAATTGTCACGTAATATCCCTATCAATACACAAACAAACTTACAATGAGTTCACTTGTACTGTACGTTGAGTTCATTGAATACATCAATCAATGCATGAAAACTGCATTGAAATCTATGTTCTAAACGATTGAATCCAAAAACAAATACCCCTTTAATGAGTCCATTCATGGAGTACCCGCACGGGTCGAACAGGAAGTCATCGATTGTCATTCCGGGCAACAGTTTATCGATACCCGACTTCTGTGTCGCCTCTTTGCCCGACGAGGACACGGCTCGCGTGAAGATATTCATCACTTTGTGGTCCAAGTTCTGCATAATTATCTCAAACGTCTGGTCCGGTGTTTGTTTGAAGGACTTGGACTCAATTAACGGCGAGTTTAGCGTATATAAGTACCAGCAGTCGCTGTTCATGCGGCCCATGCAGTAGGCGGCGCCGTCTGCACCGGGAGTTTAGGGAAAATTGTCAAATATTAGTTGAGATTTATTTGAAATATTTGAAAACTATTTTCAACTCAAGTTTATTGTAAATGAGTGATAATGAGATACCCATAAATTTAAACTACCGTTCCCTTGCTATTAGTGCAAAAAGTGAGACAAACCTTCAAATAGATTATCGAGAGCCTCGACCTCGTTCTCGAAGGTCCGGTGCGAGCCGTCCTGGAGTTCAGGTCTCATGAAATTCTTACGCGAATAGAAGATATCCTTTGGACACAACAAATGAGCGATGATTAGCACCGGGAGGAAGGGCTAAGCTTGAGAGCACACTTACCACCACTTCATCAAAACCTGCCACTTGTTTGACGAGATAGAGAAGCGGTTCCAGACATCGCAATAGAGTAGTCGAACCGCACGTCTTAATGATAATACGGTTTTTTGAGACAAACAGAGAGCTCTCACTGCATACCATTCCCCACACAGATAGCCAATCGTAAATACAATCAAATAGAAATATAAATGAATTAAAAATTTGAGACAACAAATGTTTTCTTTAATCATTGTTTTCATTGATAATATCAATGGCCGTCAACCGTAGGGCCAGTAAAAGACTGCACACTTGGGTGCCCCCGCACATACCGGTGCGGTCCACAAGTGACAGCCCCACCAGTACCTCTACGTGCCAGCACCTTGGCACCTAACCGATAAACTAACTCTGATCATTGCTAACTTATAACTGTTATATATAATATCAAGTTATTGTAAATTGTATCTCAAATTTCTGTTATATTTGTAACTCTAACATAAGCTATATAATTGTCCCTGATAACTAGTATTAATTATAATACTAATTTTGAATTGATATTGTACTGGCTTTAAACCGTGGGGATGACACCAATAGTTTTTAAATAAATAATTATTATAAAATATAGTGTAAAATAAAAAATATTCGTAAATAATAAGTTGAAACGAAAAACATATTTTCGTGTTTTAAATAGAGTAATGAAATTCATATAAAAGTAAATGTGATTCAAACGAGTGATAGAGTTATGGAAAAATTAAGTGAAAGTTTAGTGAATTCAAAGTTTTAGGAAAATATTCAACATTAAAAGCATTTGAGTGTTTATCAGAGTTTTAGTATTAATGGAAAATTACACAGAATTTCATAATTATTATAAAAGATTTTTTTATGACAAACATAGCGACAGAGAAACAGTACGGAAGTTATGATAAGAAGTGGTACTAAATATACAGAATATGTTACTTCAAGTTATATCTCGATTAATAATTTATTGACAATAAAAATAAAATGTTTAGAATAGTGCAAACTCTAATGAATAGAAAATACAAACAAAATAATCAAGTTTTAGGAAATATTCGACAAATATTGACAACAAACTCAAAGATGTGTTGATAGGGACTGGAGTTTATACATTGATGAAAATAAAGTTATTTAATGGTATTTATACTTTAGTACATAAAAAACTTAGTGTTTACATATGAATGCTACTAAAATATATAAAAACAAGGCTATCTGGGCTATTTTTAGAATACCCTGATCACACATCTTTGGTTTAAATAATGAATAATTAGTCAAAAGTGATAAATAGTTAGGAAAAGAGACAAATGAAGTAAAATAAAAAAAAAAGTGAAATTCTCGACAGAATATTCAGCACTTGTTTTGTCAGAATTAGTTAGAAAAAGCCAGCAAAACATAATTCTGACACAAACAGTCCGGGCACAAATAGCCCGGACAAAACGAAATGTATTCAAGAAATGAACCAGGATCATAAAGTCGACACACATGAATGTCTCCCCAAAGTTCTGTTCACAACAGTGTTATGACTACAAGTCAATCAAAATGGTAATTATAGTGATATATAATTACATGATTAGGAATAACCACTCATTTAGCTATTGATTTGTGTTGTAAATGAGTTTCTTATATATTATAGTCATATAATACCCACTGATTTGTGTCTCAATTGGCCACTAAATGGCACACAGAATAAGGCACACAATCGAGAGTTGGTCTCATAGGAGGCCATGGAGTTTGAGTAGTGGTCGAGTCGGCACCGGGAGATCGGCGGCAACGGCTGTAACAAAGACTTTTGTCATAACAAAAAACAAATAGCAATTGTCTTTCACCCCAATTCGTCCACCCCTTCACAGCGCGGCAGCAAATATACCCCCAGTTGTTGTACCGGCTTTGGCACACATACCTCCACATACCTGACACCCCCTCGGCCTACCCCTTGGATATGGGCATTCCGTTCATAAAATTATAATATTTATAATAACTTCCAAAAATATATACTGGTACTTTTGTGCCAAACGTTTACAATCAACTAAGCAGTAGACACTACTGCGGCGGGAAAGGTATGTCAAACCAGTAGTTTATTACATACTTAAGTGCATGCGATACCTTACCCGTACCTACCGGTCAATAGTTAATAATTATATTATTAAATATTATTATTAAATTCAACACAAAAACCAACAAATGTATAATTTAAATGCAATATATTTTACATAATGTGTAATTGTTTTTGGTTAAAATTAATTTGTTTTTAAAATTGTGTACTAAAATCACTTGGTAATATACTACTAAGAGTGCGGTATAAAACGGGTGATCCCCCTACCCCAGGGCACCGGTATAGAGATAATTACCTCAAGACATATGCATCCATGTGCTCGTTGCGTTTAAATGATATGATTTTGCAGTTCACGAAACTTAACAAGGTGTCCCACGCGCTCCTAGAATAGGGGAATTGGATGTAAATGAAAAATTTTAATAAAATCTATAATTAATAGACTTATTATTAGACATTTATTATGATTAATAAATAAAATGAATGATAGCGCAAAAAGCGATTCAATAATATTTAGTATACTTTTCATAAACATTTCACAATAAGTGTTATTAATCAAGGAATGACTGGTTTTTCGTCATAAAAAACTTTTCGCTAATCATTGAAAATTTGTTAATTGATTACCAAATCAGTCATATAAAGTACTCTTAAATTGAATGTTCAGATAAGTTATAATTCAATTCACGCGTCAAATGAATGAGACATTCATTGCATAATACTGTATGTTTGCCTACAACTCAATCCTTTTTAGTGCAAAAGTGTATTTGAAATCAATTTTGCGGTATAATCAAGACAATCAGTGGACGGGTAGTGTAATAAATCATAAGACTTTTCATTAATGTGTAAATTGTGCCTGTATGGTTTGTGTGTGAAATGATTGTATGATTGCACAGACATATCAGACAATACAGTACTTAAGAGCGAAACTCAATTCAATTGAAGTGTTTGTGCGGAAAGTATTTGTGAATATTTCAATAACATGTTAAGTGGGAATAGATTTTGGTGTCGATTCTGTCTATGCTTAATGCGTGATTCCCGCGATATATGAGATATTAGTATTTAATTTAAAATAGATTTATGTTTCAATAGAGAGAGAGAGAGAGAAAGAAAGAGAGAGAGAATCAGGAATTGAATTTAAAACACATTTCATAGTGTCTTCAAAATCCGTTTATTATGAGATAATAAAACTTTTTAAGTCTGAATTGAATCGGTTTATATGAACTGATGTATTGATTATACAGACGTCCTCATAATGTAAACTACAGTTTATTTAAACGCAATTTTAAACCCTTTGATTAGTCAAAGGCTTATGTAATCGTGATCTGTCAATCAAAATTTGTTATAAATATATCCCTTTAAGTACATAAATCTCTTATCAAAGTCTCGCAATTAACTGCTTATTAATAAAATTAAATTATGTGTATTTCTTATCTACAAAAACTATTATAAATCATATTAATTATTATGTTATGAATTATGGCATAAGCCATACAAATAAAAGGGTTAATAATCTTATAATGAAAATATTTATCTAAACATAAGGTATTGAAACAAAAGTGACAATGAATTAAAATATATTTAACTTGTGATACAAATTGTAATTCTCACGACTAATATATCTTTTTAATTGCAATATTAAGTACAAAATATATTCTTTGTCTCAAATGTTTTGAAAGTTGAGTGAAAATAAACAGAAAGTCTTTTGCAGTGAAAATGATATGAAATTCAATTGAATTCCTCTTGAAGTGAATGAAAGATTGAAATCTTATTGAAAAACGGGAATAAAGTTGTCGTTATGTCATAGGTATGGGTGATCTGCAAATGTTTGAGTGAGAGAGTGAGAGAGAGAGAGAGAGAGAGAGAGAGTATGTATAAAATGGAAATTTTTAATATATATTTTGTGCCAATTTTTTGTATCTTAAATGTCAAACTTTTTATAACACAACATTAAACAGACCTCTCTCTCTCTCTCTCTATTGAAACATAAATCTATTTTAAATTAAATACTAATATCTCATATATCGCGGGAATCACGCATTGATAGCATGAAAAACAGGTAAACCATAAACCATAATGTAAATTATTGGTTATACATAATTTGATACATAACTACGAAAGCAAATAATCAATATAATAAATGCATGGAAAGTGTTTTTACTGCTAAATCGCTATTCAATACCTAAATGACTGGTAAAACGAGTGCCAAATATATAATGAGTTTCAGTGAAAAACAACGAGTTTTTCTATTTCGACATAATTTTAGCAGAAAAATGAGATAAATATATCTAAAACTGTTTATAGTCTACAAATACTCGGTACACATTGTATACAAGAGATATTTGAGAGCACAGTTAGTCTAAATTGAGGGGAAAGGGATCTAACGCTAAACCAATCGATTGGCCTTCAGGTTCTCTCTCTCTCTCTCTCTCTCTCTCTCTCTCTCTATTCTTAATTCAATGTCTCGACCCTTGATTTACCGCACATTCATTGAATATGTGCACAAAACTATTTAATAAAATGTTTGCATATCTTTATACCGAAAAATTCTTCGACAGATTTTCAGAGATAATATTTTATTGAGAATTAATTCAATGCTAAAAAACATGTATTTTATACCTAATATGCAATCTATAGTGTATAGCATAGACAGAATCGACACCAAAATCTATTCCCACTTAACATGTTATTGAAATATTCACAAAAATGCATAATACTTTGTACATGGTATGTCTATCATTGTGGCATTAATATGTAGACTTAAATAAACACCTTATTTAGGGGAACTGGATGTAAATACAGTATTCTTTTGTCTATACGTGTATTCCTTACTAATATACAGTATATTTATATTTAAATAATATATACACAGAATTTATCGATTCGTGGATACATTTTATAAATATACAGAATTACAAAAACAATTATTTTAAATATGAGATCTATTAATATAAGGGAACTGGAGGTTTATGTGAGGCTATAAGGAACAGGAATTCAATATACAGAGGGGTCAGTAGTATTTGTGGTATAAAACCAGTTATAATGGATAGGGTTATGGCATCGCAAATGACATCAAATACGAAATATTAAATTATAGATATATGAGACAAACCATACCTCTGGATGTGTCTCAGGTCGCAGTCGTTGGGGTTGTCCTGGTATTTGTCAAACCAGATCTCCATCAGCTTTTCGGTGCCCTCGAAGAACTCGCAGAATGAATTGGAAGTCATCACTGGATTAGGTCTGAAGACTTGATTGAAAAAAGGCTTTTAAAATAAATATAGCTTTTTGTGCCAATTATTCAGACAATCAGTGAATGAATGAATATTGAATGCCTTATAAGTGAGAACTGTATTGCAATTTATAGCCAGCACACTATCGTAGAAATATACGCGCACAGTGCGATTAGAGTAGGTATGTGCAATACAGGGGACTGGGATGCTCACCAACTAAACCAGCTATACTGGTGGACTAGGAATTTCAGTTATCTCGACAAATCGCCTTGCTATTTGACAATTAATGACGTTTGACATTAAACTAGACTATTAGAGGGGGTGGCAAAGGGTTGTCTCTCTAATGTAGTCCCCCAGACATACCCGACATACCAGTGCTAAACGCTTTCGGGGGAGTCTGAGGGGGAGTTGGGATGAGAGATGTGCGGCGCATATATTGCGTGGACAGGCGTATTGAGAGTGTCTGATGTCATACCATATCAACACATATATGATAAGCAGTAGATGTTATCAGAGATAACGGGG